CTGAACTGTAAACTCTGATATTAAATTAAATGCCCTGTAATCACAAGAGTTTTTAATCTCTTTTTCTTTTTCTCTCTTGCTTTATTAGTTACTTGGTAGGAGATGAGCTCTGGGTGGTGATGGAGTATTTGGCTGGAGGTTCGTTGACAGATGTAGTGACTGAGACCTGCATGGACGAGGGCCAGATTGCTGCAGTCTGCAGAGAGGTAAGAAGCCAAGTCTAGGCATCAGCAAAACCACCCACTACATCTGTGGCTGTGATGAGCTGACCCATACATTCAGGTGGGAACCTACAAATGCACTGAAGCATTTCTCCCAGCCAAATAAAACGACTACCCAAATTTGCTTTTAGTGCAGGCTTCCCTCTGTGGGCGTGAGCGTTGATTGTATGTTATTTTAAGTTTTTATCTTCCTCTTCATAGTGTCTTCAAGCCTTGGACTTCCTACACTCCAACCAGGTGATCCACAGAGATATAAAAAGTGACAACATCCTCTTGGGCATGGACGGATCCGTCAAGCTCAGTAAGTCTTCTCTCTTTGGTTCATTAAAGTTTACCTTTGGCTTTAGTGTGGTAGAATTAAAGTAAAAAGCCCCCTTAGTTATAAAAAAGTGGCTCAGATTCAGGTTAAGAGACACAGTGTTGTGGTAAATGAAAGACCACTGGAATGAAATATTGATAAATGCAATGTGTAAGTGCATAACTAACCATCAAAACACCCTCTGTCTCCCTCTGCTTCCCTCTGCAGCCGACTTTGGCTTCTGTGCTCAGATCACTCCAGAGCAGAACAAGCGCAGCACGATGGTGGGAACGCCCTACTGGATGGCACCGGAGGTGGTGACTCGGAAGGCTTATGGCCCTAAAGTGGATATCTGGTCTCTGGGAATCATGGCGATAGAGATGGTAGAGGGAGAACCGCCTTATCTGAATGAGAATCCACTCAGGGTAAGACACAGAATGCAGCCAGGACACACTGCATTTGCTCTCTGGTGGTCATACAGTATACATGGCGATGAAATATTCAGATTTTTTTCCCCCTATAGTCCCCCTCATTACTTGACCATGCTTGTCTTTCCAGGCGCTGTACCTGATAGCAACCAACGGGACTCCAGAGCTGCAGAACCCAGAGAGGCTGTCATCTGTGTTCAGAGACTTCCTTAACCGCTGTCTGGAGATGGATGTGGACCGCAGAGGCTCTGCCAAGGAACTGCTTCAGGTAAAACTCGATTTACAGTATATGTAATTATAATTATTGCATTTTTATAATATTTAATTACACAAACACTTTGGCCGTATTTGATATTGTGTACATCAACCATTTACTAGGCAGAATTCTGGACTATACACCCACTATAAAATATAATGCAATCATAACAAAACCTTTACCTTTATTTAATTCACTTGAGTTCAGTTTTATTCATATTGCACTAATTCACAACATATGGCATAGTTCACATAGTAAGGTGAAGACCTTGGAAAATTATGGGAAGAAACCCCAAAAATCTAAAGATTCCCTTGGATTCCATTCAGCAACAGTGTATATGAATGTAAATAATTCAGTTGTGCATGAATATGAATCACTGGTTAAAGGGGATGAACATAGTGGTGGATCTTCAGGTTTCATCATCTTTTGTTCTCTTTACACTGCATCCATGATTTTACAACCATAAATTTGCAGCTCTTTTTGACATTTTTCCATCCTTCCTGTCCGCAGCATTCCTTCCTCAAGCTGGCGAAGCCTCTATCCAGCCTGACGCCTCTGATTGTAGCCGCGAAGGAAGCCATAAAGAACAGCAGTCGCTAGGGTGTGCTCCCTGTCCGCACCCGAGGCTGGAGCCCTGCCTGTGAAGTGTGCATTCATGGCGGCAGGGGCTTGGGTGTATGGGTGGAGGGTGACGCGACAGTGACAGCACAAGGAGGGGTTTGTGTGACTTACTGTGACAGCACAAGGACAAAAGACCCCCAGGCCTCATATGTAGGACGGACATCTGGCCTTGCAGCCTCTCGGCCCATGCTGCTGAAAAGACCTTATCTCCTCGTTTACTTCTCCAGCACTCTGTACATGTAGAGCAGTCCATCACAAGTGTGTGTGAGTGTGTGGGCGTGTGTGCGTGTATAGAAACTGTGCACATCTCTTTGTGTCAAATGTCTCGTTTGGGAAACTCCCCCAAACCAAAAAAAAAAAGAAAAGAAAAAAAGAATAGGGTGAAAAAATTGAAAAGAAAGCATTTTCAAGAAGAAACTGCAGAAGTGAAGAGGAAAAACAAAACACAAAACTGAAGCGCCTGTGATTCCTTCCCTGCCCAGCTTTAGGCTCGGTTTTCTTTCCTCTAGTCCCTTCATGGAGCACCATCAGGCCACACCTGCACCTGCAGTGACCGGCTGATGTGAGAGAGTGACTCTGGACCCAACCTTTGCCTGCATGATCTACGGCTCTGTGCAGAAACACTGCTACTCCTCTGCAGATTGTCACATCTCAAGGTGGCATATTTTTGTGTAATTGTGTGTGTGTGTGCGTGCGTGTGTGTGTATGTGTGTGAATGTGTGTAGGGGTGCAGCTACAGGGGAAAAAAAAAAAAAAAAAGTCAGGAATAATTTCACATGACCTATACCAGCTTTAAACATCTTTCAATTATTCACCTCATATCCGTGAGGAGATGCTTTTTCTTTTTTTTTCATTTGAGCTCATGACGGCTGCCTGCAGTGAGTTTACGGATTCTCTCTGTGAAACTGGCTGCATAACATCAGGTATAATGTTCTCATTATCTGAAATACTGAACCAAAACTATACTGCGGCATCAGTCTCTGATGTTTCCTGTGATATACAGTATAATATAAATACTTTCCTATCAGTTTCAGGAGCAAAGTGGTTCTTATTCAGTCGTTTTTGTGGATTACGCTGGTGTGTAGATTCCGTGTCACGCATTTAATTATTAGAATAAGTAGAGAAAGCGACAATATTGATGCAAGCAATTCATTTGACAGATCATTTTAAAATGCTGTACACATAAACTGTAGCATCTCAAATAGGATCATTCACAATATGTTTCTGAGAAATAAGTACATAAAAAAAGGAAAAAATACCAAATCAAAAACAGATGGTGGACAGTAATCCTGAATCCCAACGGATGGTCTTGTAATTATTTATCTGCAGTGAGTTGAGGGTCCAGTGCCACATTTTATTGCACCCACAGTGCCCCAAGCATCCCAGTGTCCTTAGACCTTCAACAGAATACGATAAGATGCCCTTCGACAGGCAAATAATGCAAACATTGAACACACTGATCCAACGGAAAATCGTCGCTCGAGATGACAAACTGCAACATGACACGGAGGGAAAAAAGAAACTTCCCTCATGTGAACACGAGCTATTTGTATTTCTTGTGGTGTCATCGTCTTATACTGAAGAATATGCTGCATATGTTTGGGTTGCCAACAAGAATCTGGCCTACCTGTTCAGGTGAAAACACCGCCCATGTCCACTGAGACACTGTCCTCCTCCTCCCCTCTCTTCTTCCCTTGGTATCTGAGATGCTGCTTAGTGTTTTGTTTTCTTTTACTTGTGTCTTATATGACTTTTTTTTTGTTCATGTGGTCTTTTACATTTTATAGTGAATCGTGTGGCAGATCATAGAAGGGGAATGTTATCCACTGTGCTAAGTAGTGAGTGCCATTTTTATGATTGTACCTTCGCCCTGTACGAGCACCGAAAAACAGAAACTGTGGTTAGAAGCTCACGTCGTTTCGCTAACATTCCTCTCATACCCGGTTCAAGAGTTCCAACTCACTCCTGTACAGAAGTTATCTTCCTCTGTCTACATTCGGTGGCTTCGTCAGGCGTTTCCCATGTAGCATCCCTCTTGTGCGTGAGCGAGTGTGTTTGTGTGTTAGGGGGCTACCTCAATCTGCACTAGAAGATGCCTCACTCGTGTTGTCCACCTTGACTCTGAGGTGCAGGGTAGCTGCTTAGTCATATTGTACCTCCATTGTACAGCAGATGTACAGAAGACGAAAGGAGCGACGTTAGACGGGAGGACAGAATTCATGCATGTAAAACAAAACTATACACTGTATCTCATCTTCAAATAGGTTAAGATTGTTAGGATATGTATGTATGTATGTAAATACGATGGGAAAAACCCTCCCCCTCCCCCCGCCCCCCTTTTTTTCAGAACTATGTAACTTAAAATGACAATATTCAGGTTGCTCTATGGTATGTATCAATAAATGTTTTGCACCCTGGAAAATCGGTTAAAAAGAGAAAAACAAAACACACGCTGTCTCTGCACTCCTGGATCCACCTCTCCTGTTTGGGCTTTTTATCGGACACTCCTTCATCCGGACAGAGAGCCGATGAACGCAGCACTCTGTGTGCGGGCCCACACAGTCTGTCCTGAGTACCACTGCTGAGTGTTAGTGTATATGTGTGTGTGCGGTAGGTAGGTAGGTGTGGGTGGCCTGTCAGGAAGCTTCGCTGACCCTGAGGACATTTTGGCCTCTGCCCCATGTACAGGTCTGAACTATGAGCACAAAGGTGAATTTCGGGACAAGAGACACCGCTGACGTGCCCCTTTTTCTGTGGTTGCTCCTGTACATTCCTATCTTCTGAATGTGTAAACCTGTACACGTGGTGTGAAAATTCCTCTATTAATGTGTATCAAGAGAATGGAACAAAGACAAAAAATGTTACTTTTTAAATTATTATTATCTTTATTATTATTATTATTATTATTATTATTATTATTACTCTTATTATTGTCTAGCTTTGTAAAACTGCTGATCCATCTGGCATACCTCAGCAGGCCTTTCCCCCTCATCTTTGAAAAAGGACAAACGAGTGACGGGGAAATGAGGTTTTGGATAAACTATTTTTAATTGTGGTTGAAGCAATAGACTTTTTGAACTTTGAATTGTGCATGGCTGTGTCTTGAGTGTAAAAAAAACAAAATATTGCAGTTTGGGAACTGGACTGAAATAAAAAGAGGAAGAAAACCAGAGTGGTGGCAGTGCTTGGTCCGAGGATAAATCCCTTTTTTTTATTCATTTTTCATTGTTTAGGAATTTGTTTTTAAGAATGAGAAAGAAACATGATTGTAAACTGGTGGAAGAAAGAGAGAGAAGATGAATTACAGAAACAGATGGTAATAAGACTTGTAAATAGAGCAAGTTTCTCTGCATAGTGATTATTGTGGTCATTGTGAGGCGTGAATGATAAATACCACCATATCATTCACAGCATCTATAATGCGACTACCATATTGCTCACAGTATAGTGTAATGCAAAAATACATTTACAAAAAAACATCGTTATAAAAACGCTTCATAAGTTACGCAAACATGACTCAAAGAGCGACAGAAGCAATTAAACATTTCGACATAATTCACCAACGTGCAAATAACAGCGTTCACCAATATAAAAAGCTTCGTTCACGATGGCACGGTTCAAATAAGTTACACAACTTTGTCAGCGCATAGTTCGGAGCTGAGAACGACTCGGCCCTGTCAGGTCGCTTTGGAGTTCACATGGCGGTCAGCTGAGACGAGGTGAGGATCCTCAGGCTGATGCGTCCCGGCATCTCGTCGGCCATCTGCCTCCCTCGCTTCCTCAGCTGGAGCATCTGAGGGTCGGTGGAGTCCTTCACCGAGCCGGACAGAACCACTTGGCCCATAAACTCGTCCTTCACTGCGTTACTGTTCCACACCTGAGGAAGACAAGTCAGTTTTAAAGCCTGCCTCTGGTCAAGGTTACCTCTATTGGATGTTCGACCTTCACTGTGCAGAATGATGTATGTTTAGAGTTTGACACCAGCAGACTGTTTTTAGATTCTTCTGCTGAAAGTGACAAATTTGTCTGAGGTCATCGGAGCTGTGTGCTCTGGTTGGGTGGACCTCCTTCTCTATAAGGTGTGATAGACACTTGGTCTGATTTAAATATGGGATCCTTACTGGCTTTCTATCCCTTTGCATTGCTTTATTGTTGTAACAGACAGCCAACTGATTGGATTTTTAACTGAATCCATTTCTACTCACCTGCACCTGCAATTTCAAATAACATGCAGAACAATCCAAAGTTTGACTAATTTCTATCCTTAAGGCAATTTAAATTCTGAACTTTGTCGTATTTTTACCTCCAGCTGCTCTAGTTTTAGATGATTTATTTGTCTTAATGATTCTAGTTATTGTTTCTTAACAGTTTTATTACTTTACTAATGTAGCTTTTTAAAATAATATCGTTCTTCTCTAAGTTTCTCAATTGTATACCTGCATATTTTTTCCTTCCTCAGCTACATCATAAATGAAGCCATTATACCTCAGTGTATTCTGAATTTAAGTAAAGGTTGCATAAATGAATGAAATCTGAGTTGGAGCTGCTGTCTGCAGGATTTTTGATCGAACCAGTTCTGGTTCAACAGGCAACTTAGACAACGTGATGTGGAAATCCTCGATTGCCTATAAACTAAGAAAGTGAGTCAGTGATTTAGGAGATATATTTATCCAATAATTCAGTGTTTAAAATAAAGAATATATTCATGGATTCATAGATCCTGGACTTTTTCATCATTTAAAGAAGTTCTAACCAGGTAGTTGAACGTTCTTAGACACAAATCATTATTCAAACTGGAGGGACTCTTTAAATATATGTAAGAATTTTAATGTCATGCATAATAAAATAACCACAGGACATTGTGGCATCGTGATAGAGATAGAGACCCTGATTGGTTACTTTGAGAGATAATCAGGCCAAGATGATGTACTGTGCCCTCAATTACAGCCAACAGATATTACAGCTGTAGACTGATCACAAGCTTTTCTAGCACACAGAGTCAGTCTGAGCATTTTTAAAACTTACATTGACCTCTAAATAAATATTTTAAAAAAGGAAAAAAGGTGAAGCTAACTATTACTAGTTTAACAACCGTCACATGCTAGATTGTTTTAAAGGAATTGTTTGTCTGCTGTTTAGCAAAA